GTGCTTTTTGTGCCAAAGTCTCGGGTAACAGATTATTTTCAGTGGCACGGAAACTTGAAAAATAGCCAACTTTCTACTTTAGCAACAAGCAGGGTGAGGGAACCATTATAAATATCTAATTGATGGTGCTTTGAAATTTACATTTGATTTGACAAGCTTTCCTTGCAATTACATTTGCAGACTTCAACCAGATACATCAGGTTGTAAACGTATTCTCTCAAAGCCAAAGTTAGAAAAGCAAATCCATATATTATTGTTACTAAGAATAATGACAAGAGGAGGGAATGATAAAGGATTCTGGTTATTGTTTATACAATAACAATAACTTGCACTTATATAGCGCCCTCAACGCTGGGGAGCACGTAAGGAAGATTGAGTCGGGACCTTTAGTCAGGATCTCAAATTGTGAATAGTTCTCTCGTTGTGAAACAATCAAGAATTACAGCAAAAAAAATGAACATATTGGATACTGTACAATATCCTTCCAGGCGTATGGTGACCACAATTGTAGCCTAGTGGTTAGTGCGGCTTGCATCACAAGCAAGAGCAGCTGGGTTCATTTCCAAGGCGGGACAAAACCACGGGCAAGTTTTCTTACTCCACACGCCTGTTTACCTCGCAGTAAGTAAGACCCCGGTTGTTAATCGATTGGCAGATCGCTTTCTACGGGTAATAATCCCCGGGACACTGCTGTGCTCGATTGGCCGCTGCATTTTGCCCACAAAATACACAGTCAGTTCACTTTGAAATTATATTTTGTGAAGTGCTGTGACATCTCAATTAACGTGATTAGGTGCTATATTAAGTGTAAGGATCATTACTATTAACTGCAGACAGAATTCCAAATAGGGCTAACCAAAATTTTACATGAATTTAATATTGCTTCTCTATTTTTGTACTCATTCTCTAGACCTAAAGCCAAGGTTTTTATCTGCATTATTTATGGCCTTGCCCACTCTGCTGCTACTTTTGGAGTCGAATGAATCTGAATGCTTAGATCTCGTTGCTCCTCTACGATTCTTACCATTCAGGGTACAGAAGGCTTCCTCATTCCTCCTACTAAAGTTAATCACTTGACATTTCTCTATATTAACTTCATCTGCCATATAAACACCCACTCTGCAAGCCTATTTGTCTTCCAGTTTCCTCTGTAACCCTTTCCATTAATTACCTTACACCAGTTTGGTGTTATCTGTGAATTTAGACACATGCCTTCCTTCTATGTCTGAGTCTAAATCATGTATCTACATGGTGAACAGTAGCAGTCTTAATACAAACCTATGCTGGCTGCTTTTAATTATACTTTCTTTTTCAAGTTGGTTATACAGTATAAATGTGGAACACCGCAACTCAAGGGGAACACACTGCATTACAATGGTACCATTCAATGTCCTGCTTTCAAAAACTGGATAATCTAACACAAACCTGATCAATGAATCTTGTCAAGTGGATTCAGCTTGAAATTCAACTACATTGCCAAGAGACCCACACTGAGATTCCATTGTAACACAAGGTTCATAAAGTGACTGATATGAGCTGAAAATGCAATGGCAGTGCTTTACAAGGCATGAGCAGGACGAGAGCTTTAATAGCGTAACGTTCTTCAAGTAAATGGACCAAGGAATTCCAGTACAGGATAAAATGCATTGAGTTAGAAATTCAAACACAATACGAGACTCAACTGACTTGAACTGGAAACTTGATTATTACAGGAGTTTCAGTGAGTAACCCGAGTTAATACATTAATTGTCACTGAATGAACAGAGATGGAGATTAAATTTATGTGGTTATGTGAGCCTGATCTGTGTTAACTTTTTTATGGACTTTCTGCATAGTCATTGATAAGAGAGCTGTTAAAGATCCCATGAATATGTCCCAGATATGTCCTCCTGACGTGTAAAGTGCTATATCAAATACAGGAATTATTATTACGGCTTATAAATGATCAATTTGAAAGCATTTTTTATGGTCAGGAGGAAGAAGACGCAGAACATCTTCTCAGTGTTACCTTCTAAAAGCACGGGAGTCTAAAATGCAAGCTAGGCTAATTGCCCATGGGTTAAACATGTACAACAACAACAAAATTACATTTGCATAGCGCCTTTCATGTTGGGTAGACGTCTCAAGGCACTGGGGCTCAGTCTCTGGAGGTCAAGATTGGGGAGGGTGGAGGCAGGGGGAGAAGCACGGTGATCGAAACCACAGTCGAAGAGGAGGATCTTGACATGGTTCTTGAAGGAGGCAAGGGAGGGGGCGAGGTGGACGGACTGCGGGATGGAGTTCCAGAGGGTGGGGGCAGAGTGGCAGAAGGCCTGCTCGCCAATTGTGGGGTGGGTGAGGCGGGGGATGTGAAGCAGGCCAGTGCCCACTGAGCAGAGGAAGCGAGCAGGATATATAATTTAATAATAATCCTTGCATTTGATATAGCGCTTTTCACGTCTTCTAGACGCCTCAAAGCACTTCACAGAATATACTGTAATGTAAATTGACTGGATATTTGTGGGCGAAACGCGGCAGCCAATTGCGTACAGCAGCGCCCCACAAACAGTCGTGGATTGAAGTGACCAATTTATTATTGTTTTGTTTTCTTGAGGGATTATTATCAGGCCTGTGGAGTAAGGAAACTTGCCCAAGGCTTCACCCTGCTGGGAATCGAACCCAGGTCTCTCGCTTGCGAGACGAGTGCTCTAACCACTGAGCTACAGGACTCCACAGGATGGTAGGGGGTTATGAGGTCGCAGAGGTAGGGAGGAGCAAGACCATGGAGGGCTTTCAAGGTGAGGACCAGGATCCTGTACTGTTACCTCTGTGTGATGGGAAGCCAGTGGAGCGGGGCAGGATGGGGATGATATGGTCACGGAGACTGGTGCAGGAGAGGACACGGACTGCAGAGTTCTGGATAATCTACAGCCTAGGGAGGGAGAAGTTAGGGAGGACAACAAGCCTTTGAGTTTGCATAGACAAGCCTGGATGTTATGAAAGTATGTATGAGGGTTGCGGCGGCCTGCGGTATGAGACAGTGGTGCAACCAGGTGATGTTGCGGAGACGGTGAGAAGGCAGAGTGGGTCATGGCACTGATGTGGGGTAGAAAGGATAGTTGAGGGTCAAACAAGATGCCAAGTTTCCGGGCTGGCTTAGTAAGGTGTTGTGTGCATCCATGGATGGTGATGCTGCATACATTCAATTGTATATAAGTGTTCTTAATTATGTAATTAATCATCAATGAAAACAACAAAATTACATTTATAAAGCACCTTTCACGTCGGGAGGATTTTGGGTGATTCTGCAATACTTTCCATTGGTTAGTTACGCAAGGGTATTTGCCTACGTTTGACCACACATTAAATGGGTCAACCCACAAACACCACTGTAAGTGGCAGTTAAGATATTAACCCAGGATTATTCTTCCAACTCAGTTTGCAGCTACAAGAGAGCAAAGAATGAAGCCTTTTAACCAAAATATGTGCAGGGTGAGTTTCTCAAACCAAGAGCTACAAGGGCTGTACTACAAGTAACAGCATTGCATTACTCTCATGACCCTCAGTACAGTAAATGAGGCAGAGTATCAACAGCACTTGGAGCTGGTCTTCGGTCCACTTACTCAAGATGATACAGTGATACAGTGCAAGAAAATTAGTTGACAAAATTGGTTGAGCAACAAACCCATTTTCTGTCATTATTATTATTGGCAGAAAACCATTGGCCTAACTAACTAACTAACTAACTAAAGTAGGTAGTATAGGCTAAGTTGGTTTCAGTACAGTTCAAATTACTCCTGTACTGTGCAGCTTTGATACAGGTGGAAACAGAAGGCAGAGAAGGGGAAATCAATGGGATTTCTAAAGTACAGTAGTTTCAAACGTTCATTTGTGCATTATGTTATTCCACTGAATGAGACTTTTGTTTTGTTTCAGCCTCTGAACTATAGTCATCATTTACAGCTGAAGCTGGAAGATTTCTCAGTGATGATGTTTTAAGATGTCTAATTAAAATAAGTTTTGTTCCCGAGACTGGCCAAAGTCTGGGGAAGCCTGTTATCACTTCAAACACTCAACACTTTCCTGGAATATCCAAAGTAAACTTATTTTCTGTTTGTTTCTGTACTTTTACAAAGTAAACTCGCAGAAATGATTAGAAAAACGTTTTTTTTTAAAAAAACACTTGTACCATATGTATTGATTTAAAACTAAAATCTGGTTACATATTTCAGTGGGAGTCCTGCTATTGTAACTATGCAAAGGATACTCAGGTGTGATTCACTGAAGAAATATGCAATGTTGATATTGATACACAAAGTATGGAATGATTCATCACGGGCTTTGGTTCCTGAGCTAAGCTTTCTCTGTTAAACAATGCACTGAAGCAGGTCAACAGCAACCCAAATTAGAATATGTTTTCCTGTGTAAAACTGGCCACTTTATCTCTATAATGTTTGAAATCCATTATAGGGAATTTTGCAGAAAGCTACGTCAACATAAGATAGTTTACCAAACAAAAAATTGCATTGACAAAGAACAGATTACAAAACCAGTTTTGAATAGAAAATGGAAGCAATATATTAGATGGAGGAAAAAGAGCTACTGATTTGGAAAGGAGAGACCAGTCCTGAAAAGGCCAATGACATGGCCAGAGGACTTCAAAGGCATCTCACGCGGGCTTTTGCTGAAGACAGTATCAGCAATCCATAGCAGACAGAAAGATACGGGTGCTTAACATGGGAAAACAGCTGAAGGACAAGGGAGAGTGAAGCTGGTGACAGAAAAGGTGAAAGTAAAAGAAAGGGCGGTGATGAAACTGGAAATCAGGTGTTAAAGTGAGACGTTATCTAATACAGATCAGGGATAATCTGTTTCTTCCCATCGATCAGCCGACCCATTCTGTGATGCAAAGGGATCTTAAACATAGATGGAAAAAATAATCATGCCTGACACTGAAGACTGGAATATAGAGAAAATATTTTTCTTCCCTAACGTTTCAACTGAAATAGATCCCCAAGTGAAGCCCTGTAGCTCAGTGGTTAGAGCACTCGCCTCTCAAGCGAGAGTCACTGGGTTCGATTCCCGGGCAGGGCGAAATGTTGGGCAAATTTCCATACGACACATGCTTCTGTTGACCTCACAGTAAGTAGGAACCCGGTTGTTAGTCATTTGGCGGATCGCTTTTCCGGGGGTAATAATTCCTTCAAAATAATCATATTAATTTATACTAATAAAACAACAATGTCTGTCTGCGCTTCAAGAAGGATCTCAATAACCGATTGACATAGAGACATGATTATACCTGAAAGGTCTTGTGTCTGGGAGTGACATGGGCATATTTGTTTGAATATCTCCTATCGTTCATGCGGTATGACCTAAAATGTATTTCAGTTTTGCGCTTTTTGCTGCGGTGACACCTGGTGGCCGTGCCGGCTGACCGTGGCGCTGTGGCATCCTGCAGGACGGATATCAAACGGTACTTTATCCTTACTGGAGGGGAGAGGGGTGGGGCAGGAGGTGGGGAGGAGAGAATAGATACAGGTCAGGAAGGTTCTCAGTTGTTGAAATGTATACAAGCAAAAAATATCACAATTTGGTTTGGATGAAGAAGGCCATTCGGCCCATTTGGTGTCATCCCTCCACAACATCTACTCACCATCCTCCCGCCTGCATTCAAGAAAGGAGAGGAACCAAACAAGCCATTGCCATATTGTCTGCAAAATCTTCAATTAGATAGGGAAAAATGGTTCCTAAAAAATGACCGAATTCAACTTTTGATCCAGGAGTGCAAATGAGAAATGTGGTTTCACTGTTACAAAAACAGAGGTCACTGTTCTGACGAAGGGTCGTCGACTCACTTTCCTTTCTCCATAGATGCTGCCTGACCTGCTGAGAATTCCCCAGCGACTTCTATTTTTGTTTTTAGATTTCCAGCATCTCCAGTATTTTGTTTCATTTTTACTGTTCGGTTCTGGAAAATGGCTTCATGAAGAACGAAAAAAATTGAAATTTTAGTTTTCAATTTCCTATAAAACAAAATGAGGAACTTTCTTTCCCTGCGGTTCATCTGGTTTGCTGTATGTTTTGAAGTTGATCATATCCTTTTATCATAATCTGGAAATTGCAGGTGATAGTGAATGCAAATGCACTGCACAGCCTTCACAACAGCTGTGAGAAAAGGAAATATCACACAGGCAGCAATGAGAGATCTTCTGGCTCTGCGGTTCACACATATTTGTCAAGATTTACTCTGCATCTGATTCAAAGTTAAAGCTGATCTGCGAGGTGTCAGTGACAATGCTGGGTTCAAAAAGTGTTAATATCAACATATTTCATAACCCGATAGCAGAAAAGCCAAATCACGAATGTGTTTTATAGTAAAAATAGCTTAAAGAAAAAAAAATTGTTTTCAAACACTTCTAAAAGTGGCCAAATACTTGAGTTGCCTAAATTATAGAGATCTGGTTGATTATATAGGTTTGGGGTTTATAAAGTTTATGCACTGTCTGTCCAAACCAACAAAAAAGGAATAGTCTTTCTCAATCCAGAAACTGGCTGTCAAGCTGACTGACTGACTAATAGAAACATCTGGGTACAAGGGATCCTTTATGCAGACTGAAACACAGTGAAACTAACTCCTTTATGCTCCCACTACTGTTTAGCCTGAGCCAACCGCTTATTGCAGAAGCCAACTATCTCAGAGAGCTGCATTTCTCCTTTGTGGTTCTGTCTCCATCTGTTTATCGTCATCTAATTAATCTTTTATTCATGGTGAAAAGCGTCTGTAACAAGCTTAAATGAATGGGTTCCTCTGTTGAAACCATCCCCCACCTGGTTATCTTAACCCTTTAAAACAAGTCATTTTTGACCCAAACTTTCACAATATTCTCTTTAAAAATAATATTCTTTGTAATACTGTTGCAGTAACTAATACAGATTTTTTTTTACCAGCAGCAGTACAATATATGCACATGCCCACTCATTCTCCGCATTCAAGATGCGTCACTTATCCACTCATCTGTAAAGTGCTTTCATCACAGCATGGAGTAAGGGAGCTGCTCAAACCTGATGCCAATATCAATAGACCCTAACTCATTTATACAACCCTGAATGTGTAAACTGGAGATCATCTTGAAGTTACCATTCCAGGTGCTTCATGCCTGGCAATGGAATTTTGGAATCGAGCCAGCCCTCTGCGGCAGTCTCGGAAGTCCGGTTCCCAAGCCAGGTGGGTCTGCAGTTTTCAAGGCCACTGCACAGCTGATCGGCAGGCCCTGGAAGGGCAGACCAGTCACTGGGGCCAGGGAGTCATCCCACTCAGCTCCTATTAAAGATTGCAAGCCAAAGCACTAATGGGTAGGGTGGTCCTAGCTGAATAAGCAGCGGGAAAGCTTGTCGGACAGCAATATCAATGGCAAGCTTTGCGGTTTTAGCTGGTTAAATAAACTCCAGCAGTTACCAACGCACACTCTGGGGTCCCCAAGCCTTGGCTCTTGCCAACCTGTGCCTAATACTTTCTGGAATTAGGTAAGCAGGATGCATCTCTCCAGCAAGAGAGTGCGCATTCCATTCCAACAATGTATCTCTGGATTTCCATGTGTAGGTGGGTTGCATGGAAATCTCATCTTGGTTTGGTCACTCTTAAGCACGGTGATGGGTTTCCGCAGACACCCGGCTGACCAAAGGAAAAAGCTTTAGGTGCTTTACAACATGACATTGAGAAAGCTAATCCTAAAGCATTGCTTACCCACTCAGTCACCTATGATAAAAGAACAGCAGGAGGAATCTTCATCTAAGCCACGTGGGAATAGTGGACGGTGTGGAAACACTTGGATTGTAATCTCCTGCATTTACTGCAGTTCATCAAGCATGTCAGGTGCATTCATTACAATCAGGTAATAATAGTTAAATAACACGTACCGGTGGACAGCTGACAGCAACATAATCCACTTCAAAACAATAAAAACACAGTATTTTAACCGGTACAAATAATTCATACTTCAGCTCAGAATAATGCTACAACGACCTCCCATTTCCTGCAGCACAGATCGAATGTACGGCTGACAGTAGGTCCAGCGACGTCTATCAACAAGAAGCTAATCACTCATAAGCAGCAAGTCACATTCCATCAGTGGTGGGAGACCCGAGGTCAGTTTATGCTGGGAACTTCACAAGCTGGTTGGTGGCAGAATGCAGTTGGCTGCCCCGTGAGTGACGAGCAGCAGAACAGAGATAAGCAAAGTGCAACAAATGTGAAGAAACCTCACAGTTGGACACTGCTCTGCAGCTTCGACATTTGTTTTGCTGCTGTTCTTGTTCTGCCTGGGCATGTTCCAAAACGCCGGGCAAGAGTCCTTACTCCACACACCTCTGCTGACCTAGCAATAAGGAACCCGGTTGTTAAGTCGATTGGCGGATCGCTTTCCTGGGCATAATAATCCCTCAAAATAAAATTTGGTCACTTAATCCCCGACTATTTGTGGGACACTGCTGTGCGTAATTGGCTGCTGCGTTTCGCCCACAAGTATACAGTCAATTCACTTTACAGCACATTGCCACGGGACCTTTCACATCCACCTGAACAGGAATTCGGTTTAACATCTCATCTGAAGGACAATACCTCAAGCATTGCAGTGATTTCCAGCATTGGACCGGACTGATAAGTGTAGACTTATGAGCATAATGTCCTGCCGTGAGGTTCGAACCCACAACTTTCACATTCAAATGCAAGAGCGCTATCAACCGAATCAGACCGGCACCTTGAAACAGTTGTGGAGTCCTGTGGCTCAGTGGTCAGAGCACTCGCTTTGCAAGTGAGAGACCTGAGTTCAATCCCAGGCAGAGGGCGAAACCTTGGGCAAGTTTCCTTACTCCACACAGAGCCTAATAATAATCCCTCCAAAACCAAAAACAATAATAAATTGGTCATTTTCAATCTACGACTGTTTGTGGGACATTGCTGTGCGCAATTGGCTTCCGCGTTCGCCCACAAATATACAGTCAATTCACTTTACAGTGTATTCTGTGAAGCGCTTTGGGACGTCCTCCCGACGTGAAAAGCGCTATATCAAATGCAAGGATTATAGGATTATAGTCGGAAACTAGAATCATAAGGAATGGAAACATAATGACAGCATGAGGTAGAAGGTGTCAGATTCCGAATAGCAATTTATCAGCTTAAACTATACCGGGAAATCGAGACCTGATATCATTGCTCATTAATGACATAAGGAGGAAATGCTGACCGTTTTACTATTTTCATGCTGGGACATATGTGTAACCATAAAATTACCAAATTGAAAGCATTACTCTAAACATTTAAAATGTGAAACGTGACCAAACGTGTCAGCTACTATAAACGCAATTTAGGTTTATAATTTAATGTAAACACAAATTAAGCACTTCCATTGAAAAACAAAGCACATCCCAAGGCACTGGCTATGTCAGGGATTTGAACCTGAGCAGGGAGGTTGGGATCAGGAGGGGTGGAGAGCAGGGAGGGTAATGGTAGGAGGGTGACTGTATTACTATCTCAGCCCTTCCACATTCCATAACTGCACAGTCATCTGCTACTAAAGTAACGTAACATAGTAGTTGCTTTGTTCCAGAGGGAAAAGATAATCCCAAAGTATTTTTGACAGTCAGCCTCATACTCCTAGATGCCTCCAGTATATTTGATGCAATAATTCTCTACAAATGCTGGAGTGAACGTTGACATATGATTTAACGTATCGTGATCTATTTGTGAGTTAAAAAATAGTTAACACATCAGATGATGAGTAGGGGGCTAACCCACCTGATCAAACATCACAGAGTTTAGCCCCAGTTTTATTAAACACATCAAACACTGTGGTAGACGTTCAGCTGTAGGTGTTCTTTAACTTTCCGCTTCACACCAGATCAAACACAAGTTCAATAAAACATTCTACAGCAAATTGGAAGTTCTGTATTCGAAGGTTATGTGCTTTGCAACTTCATAGAGATCCTATTCGCTCAACAAGGAAAAAGTTGCTCACTTTGTACCTTTGGTGGTACTGTACTTGCAAACACAGAAAACTGCTTTGCCAAGAAATTTGTATGAATCAAATCCGCAGC